CCAAGAGTATTGCCTTTACATGCACATGAACTTTAATGGCATCCCAGTCTTAGTCCGTAGGGTTCAGTATTGAGTTAGCCCACCCTTTGCAGCTATAACATCTTCAGCTCTTCTGGGAAGGCTGTCCACAAGGTTTAGGAGTGAGAAAATGGGAATGTTGGACCATTCCTCCAGAAGCGCATTTGTGAGATCAGGTACTGATGTCAGATGAAAAGTCCTGGCTCGCAGTTTCTGCTCTAATTCAGCCCAAAGGTGATGTAAAGCTTGGATGCAGCTGCTCGGTCATGGAAACCCATTCCATGAAGCTCTCTACGCACTGTTGTTGTGCTAATCTGAAGGCCACACAAAGTTTGGAGGTCTTTAGCTATTGACTCTGCAGGCATTTTTGGCAATTTCTGCGCACTGTGTTTCAGCATGCACTGACCCCGCTCTGTCATTATACGTGGCCTACCACTTCGTGGTTGAGTTGCTGGTGTTCCCAGTTGCTTCACTTTGTTATAATACCACTACTAACAGTTGACTGTGGAATATTAAGTAGCAAGGAAGTGTCACAGATGGACTTATTGTACAGGTGACAACCTATCACAGTACCACGCTTGAATTCACTGAGCTCCTGAGAGCGACCCATTCTTTCACAAATGTTTAAAGAAGCAGTATGCATGCCTATGTGTTTGATTTCTATACACCTGTGGCAATGGAGGTGATTGGAACACCTGAATCCAATGATTTGGAAAGGTGTCCCAATACTTTTGGCAATACAGTGTATATAGTCGTGGTATATATTTATACCAGAGGGGGGGGTGTTTGTATATCATATATCATCATTGTGTGGAGTAGGGAGCCATCTATTGGGTGTTCACTACAACTGCACCTGTTTTAATTATTCCCTTCAACAAGAACAGGAAGTTTCTCATGTTTGTTAGGAATAAAGATTTCCCATAAAACCACTGCAGCCATTTTAGCTTTTAGAAGAACACCAGTGAAGGTCTCCTTCATTCTCCCTTTGATACGCATATGCTTGTAAGTTCTTTCATTGTATTTGTTAAAGTCACATACATAGCTAGGTCACATTTTAATGTATTCAGTGTGATTAGTATGTAATGTATTCATTGTATGCATTTGTGAGAGACCTGTACAAACCTATTGTGATTTCAGTTTTTATGATTGTATTGCAGATTTACAGAACTAGACACAGAAGTAAATTCAGTTTTGGAATGAAACACAACGCTGCTTCTGTCAGTTTTGTTAGCAAGCTGTCGGCTAACCGCTAGTAGGACAGCATATCTATCATAAGAAGAAAACAGAAGCAATGACCACTTGTTGGGAGAAGTAAAACAAAAGTCTACTGTAGATGCATTCCAATGTATGAAGCTGTGCAGTCCATATAAAAAAAACACTCTCAAGAGTTTAATATTATAGTCAGAGATGTATTTTTTTTTACTGGTGTCTGTTTTAAAACTGTTAACAGCTCACTCCTACCCCCCCCCCCCCCCCCCCCCCCCCCCCCCCCCAGCTGCCCTTGATGATCAATGGGCTTCCAGCTGGGGAATGCTGTAAAACACAACAAAGAGCTTTTTTCCTGTTAAATTAAATACCGCCTGTTCATTCTGACTTTGTCTCTTCATCAAAACGCAGTACTGCCATGCAGAAAAAAAAAATCTATTTTAGAATCTGTTTATTTCTTTCAAAAAAATCAGATACAAACTAAAATCATATATACCATCTATGAAAATGACATTACCATTGTCCAATTACAAATCTATTTTCTTCAAATCTGCACTGAATATTCAACACAAATAGAACAATTTTCCTGTTAAAATACATTTTGCATAACTGCTGCACACCCAGCATCAAATATTTATTTTTCTTTCTACAACTGTCTGAAGATTTTATAGTGTGAATTTGTAACTGCAAAAATTTTAACCTTCGAATGTTCTATATTAATTCATCATTCCCAACTGCATGAATGTCATCTGACTGCATCATTGGTCCACTTCCATCAAAGAGTAATATAGAAGACCACTGAGCAAAATAATAAGGTTGACCTAGAAATAACACACACATACATATAGAACATACGTATATAAATAAATAAATAACAAGCAAACAGCTTTATAACTGCAGTAGCACAAGGTAATTCAACTTTCCCAAACTAGATCTAAACCTGTCTGGAAATTTCCGTACTCAATGATGCAAACATGTTGGACGGAGATAAATCACTCCTGGTAACGTTTCCCTCTTGGAAAACCACATATGAGACTAAATGAGACGTTTTATATATATAGTAGCAAACAGTCATAGGTACATTTCATTTTGAGCATCCCATCTGTCTTGCTACCAGAACACTTTGTGACAGAGAAGAATGATAGCAGCACTTCATGTTATATTAAAAGGAGAACTCATGTACATGCACCATTCTGACAGCTAAAAATATTGTAATTTTGAAATAAGTCCAGTCTTTTATGTGAAGGGGAACAAATGCAATTAACACATCTAATGTATATGGTAAAGCAGAGGAATACACAGTACAAATAATTGAATAAAGATCAAATGAGGGCACAGATAGTCCCTCAGTAGGGGTTTAAAATAAAAAAGAGGCTCCAGCAGCAATATGCACCTCCTCCCTGGTGCTGACCCCCACATTAATTTCTTTCTGCCACTTGATATCCTTAGTATTCCAGGTTGACTGGTGCCCTGCATATTGTATGTTTATCATGTTGTATTGTTATCATGCATTATTTTTTATATACGTCTTAAGGGGAAATGTTGATATTACAGTTAGTCACATACAGTTTGTAGAATACCCATATCTGAAAGTCATAAAAATCTGTAGTCATGGTAAATAGACTAGCACAATAAAACTGCCCAAGAAGGCAAAATTAAATAAGGCAATCGTGTTGTTTACATTTAAACTGACCAGATATCAGAACTTTGAATGCTTTTATAGATAAATTATTATATACAGTAATTGTATCCTGCTAGAACCACACTATAGAATGCTATGCTGGTAATGTTTAGATTACAGATAATAAATAATAATACATTCTGTGATTTAAAAATGCTTACTTCTTTTGGGATAGCAATTTAAAAAAATGTGGTTACATGCTGGAAGATATAACCACTTAAGCTCCGGAAGAATTTACCCCCTTCATGACCAGGTCATTGTTTGCTATTCAGCACTGTACTACTTTAACTGGCAATTGCACAGTCATGGAACACTACACAAATGAAATTTATATCATTTTTTAACAAAAATAGAGCTTTCTTTTGGTGGTATTTAATCACCACTAAAACAATATAAAAATCATGAAATGAATAAAATTTATAAAAGTTCATAAACCAATAAGAACAGTTCATAAAGTGACTTTCAGTGCTCTTAAAGGTGCTTGTAATACTGGTACGTCTGTGCTTGTGCAGTGACATGAGGAGAATTGCGTACTCACCAGACGCGCAATTAATATGCGCCAGTATATAAATATATACTGAAGTCATCAAGGTAGGTAAGATGTTAAGGTGACTTCCCTCTGAAGGGCAGGGTGGTGGAACGATCAGATCCTAGAACTTTAGGTGTTGACCGAACACAGCCAGAGTTCCCCTTAAGGGTTAGGTGGATGCTGCTTCCTGGATAGTCAGGAGGATCCCTCTGGGTACTGGGATGGATCGTAATCAAACTTAGGGTATCTGGAAATTAATACTTCACTTGGGAGTTCAAACATAGGAAGATGTCCATAGTGTAGTAAGTAAAATCCCCATTTATTGGAAAATCACATTAAAATAGACATAGTATAGCAGAGTATATTCAGTGAAAGACCAGGACTAACCGTCCTTCAATAAAGATGGCCGCCAGAGCTCCACGTTGCTCTGGCGGCATGACGTCACAGCGTAATTGGCTCCTCCTTACACGTTTCGTGCACCCGCGTGTCATCAGAGGGGATCGCCAGAATTGTTTGCTGAGCTCCAGCAGCTTTTTCCTGCAAATGCACCAATATTTGTACCTGGACCTTCACTTGATCCAGTGCTGTGCCCATCTCTAGTGGCTCTCTCTTCTCTTCCTGCATTCACAGGACAGATAGGCAGCAGCGGGAGCCATTGGCTCCTGCTGTCAATCAAATACTGTGAGCAGAGAGCAGGGGGTGGGGACAAGTCATGCTGTGTGCCAAGGGATGCACAGGAGCAAGCCCGCACAAGTACCCCTATAGGTACACAGAGAAGCGGATGAGCCAGGAGCACTAGTGGAGGACCCCAGAAGAGAAGGTTTGTATAAAATGTCTATTTTAATAAAATAAAAATACTTTAAAACCTGTTTAGTCCAGGTGATGGATTGGTATACTGGCAGTGAGCTGTAGTATTGTTTTCCATATACCAGAAAAAATTGGACTGCTTGTGTTTACATTGCTGAAGAAAGCTCTTTTATTTTTCTGAATTTGAAGGGACAATAAAGACTGTTTACTTATACAAATGGCTGTATAGTATGTGTGTATGTATATGTGTGTGTATATATATATATATATATATATATATATATATATATATATACCGTATTTTTCGCCGTATAAGAGGCACCTGACCATAAGACGCACCTAGGTTTTAGAGGCAGAAAACAGGAAAAAATAAATTCTGAACTAATGGACTGCAGACACAGTACAGGAGATGACCAGAGACTGTGGACAGCACAGGGATGACCAGAGACTGCGGACAGCACAGGGATGACCAGAGACTGCGGACAGCGCAGGGATGACCAGAGACTGCGGACAGCACAGGGATGACCAGAGACTGCGGACAGCACAGGGATGACCAGAAACTGCGGACAGTACAGATGACTGCTGACCTTTGGGGAGGTGGGGAGCGGGTACCTGAATTTGACAGCTCTTACTTCCGCAGAGTTTTTGTTTGATCTTACCTGTTCCTCGATCCAGCCGCGCGCTGTCTTCCCGGCTTCTGTAATGGCGCTCGGCATGACAGCCGGGTGCCCAGTGCGCATGAGCGAGAAGCACTTGCGCTTTGTGATTGGTCCGGCGGCTTCTGGGGATTGGTCATGCGTCCCAGGTACCGCCTTACCATTCACAAAAAGCACCTATTCTTGCGCATGCGCACTTGGCTGTCATGCCCAGTGCCCGCACTACACAAGCCGGGAAGACAGCGCGCCGCTGGATAGAGGAACAGGTAAGGTCCTGCTGCAGAGCTGAGCGGCCAGCCCAGTATTCTGACACGGCCGCGGTGAAAATACCGGACAGGCCGCTCCATATTCGCTCCATAAGACGCACTGACATTCCCCCCCAGTTTTGGGGAAGAAAAAGTGCGTCTTATACGGCAAAAAATACGGTAGTATTTCAGTGACAAGGAAGCTGCACTTTAATGAAGGTTGTTACAAAGGGTAGCCGAGTTCATCTAGTAGGATCACAAGCAACCAATTGAGGTGTGATATCTTGGTAGGTGGGATGTCCTCTGGTAGTGAGGGGGCGCTATTCAGGCTGCTTCCCCTGCGGTCCATGTCTTGTAGCAGACCAGTGTCAGAGGTTCCCAGGCTGACCAGAAGATACGGAACAGTAGTTAAATGCAAGGCACGCAATGGAGCCATGCTACATTCTGGCAGGGTTTCATTCTGTTACTGGGAGCTAGGTAGTGGAGGTACACTGGCTGGTGGAGTGGCATGGTTTTGCCCACCACCATTAATGCAAGATATACCAAACACTGAGATCAGAAGAAGGAGCATTAGCTACATATTATTTTCAGTGTCAGCTCATCCCTAATTCGGGAATGTGCCTTATTATTAGACTTTTCACATTACATTGATGAGGATGCCTCTGGCGAGGTACCCCTAGTGCACCGAAGTGTTAGGCCCCTCCCACAATACTGTGTAGTCGGAGTAATTAAAAAGCCTGAAAAAATCAGCACAAGGGACATAACTTACAGTCAGTAGGTCATGTCCCTTTTGCTCAGTGCTGGGATAAGGTCATCCAGCATCCAGGCAAAGATTCCAAACTGCATTCTCCTGTCAGCTTTGTAACAGAAGGAAGGCACCCCCATCCCTACTGTAAACCATTACGCCCAGGCAGCCACCGCTTGTCCTGGCCCTGCTTGTGCATATGCTTTTTTTATTAATTAGGTGAAATCCTCCTCTGTCCATGGCTCTCCCCTCCAAGGTAGGATGGAGTTAGTGAAGTCAGAACATCAGGATGTATCAGGATGAAACTGTGTCCCTCTCATGCTGGCTGTGCGTGCAGCATCCTGACCAGCTCAATGTAGAATTGTAGTACAGAGTGTAAGTGTGCACAGTGAGAAGACACATACAGAAGTCCATCCTGGCAGCACAGGGGGCAGAGAATGAGAATTTAACAGTTCAGCTACAGAAAAATTGCATAAGGAACCTCAGAGGAGGAAATTTTATTGAAAAACATAAAAAGCATATGAGTTATGTTATTTTTATCTGATTTAGGGGAAAAATGACTTTAATGCTACTTTATTGACATTTTCACTAAATACCTGGACTTACAAGATGGAGTTTTTGGACTCCAAGATAGTATTGAGTCAGAATATTAGTGTATGGCGTTGTCATCATCGTCATCATCATCATCATGTGACTGATGATGATACCATCATGTGCGTTCATCTATATTTGTTATAATAATATTATACTTATGCTCTAGGGTGAAATCATAGATATACAAAGGTTATACACAGACCTAGACAAGTGTGCAATATTTATATGTTGTTATTCCCTCTCCTTGTTTCTGTTGTCATTAAGGTAATGTGTGTTTTCTTTATGTCAATGTAATTTGTCATAATTTGTGCACTTAGACAATAGTATTTGATTAGTATTTGCATTTTCATCCAGTATCATCTTTCTCTTTCATTTCGTGCACGGTGAAATGGTGCCATTTACCTAGCATTTAAATTTAACAGCTGGGGTACTTCCCTCACTTGGCTCTACACCATCTGTTGTAGTTTAGGTGAAAGTTTGCACAAAGATGGTCTTGAAGGGTTGCTGTAGAAAAGCGAATACTGCAGTTGATTCATCCTTTCTCAAACTGGGTAACGTCAAGCAGGCAAATCCTAAAGGTAAGGCATACTTTAAGAATCAAAGACAAATTCCAAGCATACATATTATTTACCCTGTATAAGTGGCCCTGTATAATTATTAAATCAGTAGGAGAATGATTTCGTTGAGAAAATGAGTTTAAAAACAAAACTCCAGCATAATCTAAAATTAGTAGAAAGGTACACTTCTTTCAGACATAATCATTATGTATCTATACTGACTCTGAACTCACACCCTAGTGCTGAATAACTAATTTTCAGTCTTCTGCAGTTGGCTGCCAGGTAAATGCTTGTGGTTTGTAGTATCCTCATACTTTGAATGTCCATGACTTAAAGCGGAGTTCCACCCAAAAGGGGAAAGATTTAAAGATTGGTCCCCTGCTCTCCATTAAGGATTGGCACCATTGGGGAGCGGGGGGACAGGTACCCGAATTTGACAGGTACCCGCTCCCACTTCCACTGCGATCACCTAGGTGATCAGAAACGGAAGTTGTCCTCCTACCCTCCCTCCTTGATGTCTTGTGGGACACGTGACAGGTCCCAGAAGACTACAGGACCGTTCATGAAGCGCAGCGCTACTCACGCATGCACAGTGGGCATCCGGCTGTGAAGCCGCAAGCTATCACAGCTGGGTGTCCACACTGAAGATGCCGGCGCCTGGAATACAGGATGGCAGGTGAAACAAGCTGTGGCGGGGGCAACTCGGGATTGTGGGACAGGTGAGTGGCCGTTTTTTAAAAGTCAGCAGCTACAGTTTTTTAGCTGCTGACTTTTATTTTTTAGAGTGAGTGGAACTCCCCTTTAATTACATGATTGAGTGTTCACTGATTCACTTTCTTGCACAGTACCATTCCATTTTAACTTTTTGGAACTTGTTTTGCAGGTTATATAGTCACATAGTTAGGCTGAGAAAAGACACAAGTCAATCTAGTGTAACCAACAGAAAAACGTAACTGAATAGAATGAATAGACAGAAAACCTCTATATACACAATCCTATACCCACAGTTAATCTAGAGCAGTGGTCTCCAAACTACAGCCCTGGGGCCGGATGCAGCTCTTTGTTGGCCTTTATCGGGCCCTAGAGACACTATTCCTGCCACTGACACCAACAATGGGGCATAATTCCTGCCACTGGCACCAACAATGGAGCACTATACCTATCACTGGCACCAACAATGGGGCATAATTCCTTCCGCTGTCAACAAAAATGGTGAACTATTCCTCCCACTGATACTTATACCAGAGATCGGGCATTGTTACTCCCACTGGGCACAGTCTACCCCCCTAAAGTCTGAAGGATGGTAAACTGGCCCTTTCTTTAGAAAGTTTGGAGACCCCTGATCTAGACGAAAGAAAAAAACCCTTTAACCACTTTCCCTCCAGAGGATTTACCCCCCTTCCTGACCAGGCCATTTTTTGTGATACAGCGCTGCGTTACTTTAACAGACAATTGCGCGGTCATGCAACACTACACCCAAATGAAATTTATGCCCTTTTTTCCCACAGATGGAGCTTTCTTTCGGTGGTATTTGATTGCCTCTGCGGTTTTTATTTTTTGCGCTATAAACAACAACAGACCAACAATTTTGAGAAAAAAAACAATATTTTTTACTTTTTGCTATTAAACATGTCCAGTAAAAAATTTTTAAAATAAAATTTTGCCATAAATTTAGGCCAAAATGTATTCTGCTACATGTCTTTGCTAAAAAAAAAATCGCAATATGTGTAAATTAGTTGGTTTGAGTGAAATTTACAGTGTCTACAAATGGCGGTATATATACTGCGGCGGGCATTCTGACACTGGGGGGAACTGACTGTCACTGACATCCCCAGTGACACTAGTACAGTGATCAGTACTAATAAAAAGCGCTGAAACTGTACTAATGACACTGGACAGGAAGGGGTTAACATCTGAGCAGGGGAGGACTGACCATTCGAGCACTGCCCGAGGGCCCAGGGTCAGTAGGGGGCCCCATGAGATGCCCTCCTGGTACCTTTCATTGGCTTTTTCATAGGCTTTTTTGGGTGTGGGCGAAAACACAGGGGCCCCATGATCCCCTATTGCCCAGGGGCCCCATGAGTTGTCAGTCCGCCTCTGCATCTGGGGCGATCAAAGGGTTAACTCTGTGCTGTTTTACTGTGTGCGTTTTACATTGTATTGCTCTGCTATAGCAGGGGGGGAGCTGAAGACCAGTCAGCACTGAATGAGCATCAAGGTGCTCTTTAAATAGCCCACCCAGCGCCAACAGGCGCTTGGGTCCTAGTGCCCGCCTGCCTGTATGCCTTGTCAGGATCCTGCACATGCGCAGATTCATGCGCTGCGGCGATCTTCTTGTTCCCTGACATTGCCCCCCCTATGGGCAGCCTCCGGATGCCCACTAGAGCTCATTTCTCAGGATGACGACGGAGGTAGGCTTGTCCCAACCCCCCACTCTCTCCTCACTGACTGTGATTGACAGTAGTGGGAGCCAATGGCTCCCACTGCTGTGTTTCAGCCATTAAGGAGGGGGAGTCCCAGGACAGCCAAGGCTCTCATGCACATTACTGGATCAAGAGGGGGCTCAGGTATGTATTGGGGGGGCTGCGGGGGGAGCAACACACAGAAGGCTTTCTACCTTCATGCATGAATACATGAAGGTAAAACCCTTCAACCGTTACAAACACTTTAGGGATGGGCTCCAACATTAGCCAGCTTAAATCTGCTAGTTAAAGCACCAGGTACTTTACAGCCATTCCCAGGTGCACCCCTCTCAGGAATATGTACACCCACCCTTTTGAATAGCATATTGCCACGAGTCACTGTGAGAGTTTTCTTTATGCCATTAATGCTTCACGGTTGATGCTGTTTTTGCCAATGCTGTGTATACTAGTTTAATCGGGTTTAGCCTTAATGTGGTGTAAGTCAATGGCAGTGGATGAGGCTAATATTCATTGTCTTGGTTACTGTTCTGATTCATACATTGTTTAACTTACCTTGCCCTAATATATCTATTTTATCTTCCGTCAAGCTGCTTTTGGCTAATTTTTTGTGTACTGTCATAGAATGGTAACATACTAATGCATAAGGTACACAGGTGTGAGCAGCCTACAATTCATAACCAGGTGTGTTGGTGGTGGTTGAGCAGTTTAAAAATCTGTGGCAGAAGAGACGACCAGTTGTTCCAAGCGGCTCTTTCGGGGGTAGTGGTACATCTACATGTTTCTGGACCATCAGAATTTACCCATTGAGGTTATCTTGGGGCTATTTCAATGCCTCCCCCATTATGGACTTGAGCTCCTCTTTTCCTTTGTATACACAGAGCTGAAGAAAGTATTTTATACATTTACCTTCTCTTTATTCACAGTCACAAACGCTAAATGATCTTGTGAAGAGCCTACATGCTCAGATATTACCTTTTTACTATTAAATATTCAAATATTTTTTTTGTGGGGGAAGGGGTTGTCCTACTGCCTTTTGCAACCTGCTGTTTGTTTTGAGTTTTTGCAGCCCTTGTTAGTTTTTTACACATTTTTTGTGTTCTTTGTAACCTTTACTTTAGAAGTTCTACCTTAGTAGTGACTTACTCACTCAAAATACCTTAAGCCGGGTTACGTAAAATCTAAAAATGATTAAAGTTAGCAGGTTTCCCCACTGGGTAGAGCTGCGGCCTCTTGTCAAATGATTTTATGCAAGGCACCCTTCTTGATATGCTCAGTTATGTCCTGGCATGGCATTACACTGAAACACACTGACCTGCAGACTTTAGCAAGGGGAACAGCTGGCAGCACAAAATGAATAATAGGATGAACGCCAGTCTTTCATCAAGTAGTTGGACATCCACTGAGTCAGTTTAATTGCAAAATTATCATTTAAAATTGGAGTGTAGCTTTAATGGCTGGCATTTTGAGATTAGCAAATCAATCAAATTTCCAATCTCTGATTTGTGTAAATTAGACTACACATTTATTTTGCTGGCAAAAATCTGAACCTGTCAGTTGGCAAATCAGCAAATAAAGGTATGAGGCTGCTTGTGTGTGTATGTGGAGGGAAATGCTGGCTAAGGCTCCTTTTTCTTTTCTTTTTTTTTAATTTTAAGTTTTTATTTCACTCTTCACTTTACAGAACAATGATATTAACCTGTCAAGGAGGATCAATGACAGTCAGAGTGTACACAAAAGTAAAAACGAAAGATAAAAGAAGTGTACATCCAGAACCGCAACACTTTGTACAGCTCTCAGACCATTAGAAAAAATGGTTACATGGAAAACATCAATGTAGATAAAGGTATGTATCCATAAATCACATAGTTTCATGACCACCCAATATAGGTGCATATGTGGGTGTCCAACCCAGGCAGGCCTAGGCCAAAAAGAGCGTTTTTTGAGGGATATTTAGATATGGGGACTGAGTAAGAAATGGAAAAATGTAGGAAAAAAGTAAAGGGAGGGAAAAAAGGGGGGGGGTAGGGGGTAAAGGGGTTGATGTCCATTCAGAAGCATACCAGAGGCATCTTGTCTAATCAATCACTGTGTCTGAGCCTGTAAGACCTGAGGAGTTATAAACATGGTATTGTTTTGTGAACATTGGATGTCGTACCAGTGAAACCACATTTTGCGAAATTGTTCCTCTTTACATTTTATGGCCGCTGTTAGGCATTCTATGTCATTAATCTCGTTTACCAAAGCTATCCATTAACAGATCGTTGGAGGGTCAGTCTGTCTCCATTTTTGTGGGATGCAAACTTTGACTGCATTAGGTAAGTGGATCAGGAGGGACTTTTTGTACCTACATCTTGAGGGAGGTGTAATGTTTAGAAGGAATATCTCAGGGCGCATCTCCTAAGAAAAATACATGAGCTTGTAAATCAGCCATTCAGTATCTTTCAAAAAATTGGTATTAAGAAAAGCGCCACACCCTCCAAATGATATAGCAGCAACTCTAACTCCACAAAGTATGGAAAAACAAATCAAATCAAATATAAGAGTGCTCTAAATAGACATATGCAATGTCCATACATCAAATATGTGAAAGTCCAAAAACTCATGTGACAAATATAACAAACTTTGTGAACAATCCACCACCAAATCAATCAAATGCACTCACCAGAGCTAAGTGCTGATTTGCAAAAGCGCTAAGGCTGGTCTATAATTTGATCAGCACTTAGCTCTGGTGAGTGCATTTGATTGATTTGGTGGTAGATTGTTCACAAAGTTTGTTATATTTGTCACATTAGTTTTTGGACTTTCACATATTTGATGTATGGACATTGTATATGTTTGTTTAGCGCACTCTTATATTTGATTTAGTATCTTTTCAGAAGGATTGTAAGCAGGAGCACAACCAAAAAATGTGTAACAGCATGCCAGGATTTTGATGACAATGCCAGCATAACAGAGGGACCGCAAGAAAGAACCTATGAAGCACTGGGGTCCTGTACCAGCGAGTCAACAGTTTATAACCTGCCTCCTGGTATCTGCTACAGGGAGGACCGTGCAAAGTAGAGAACCCGGTCTCTCTGCATGGAGGTCAAAGTTTT